ACCGCGCCCCACGCCAATGCCCACTGAGATGCACGCTGGCCTCCCACACCGTGTAGGAGGAGGACCTCTTCCCACGCCAATGCCCACAGAGCTGCACGCTGGCCTCCCACACCGTGTAGGAGGAGGACCTCTCCCCACGCCAATGCCCACTGAGCTGCACGCTGGCCTCCCACACCGTGTAGGAGGGGGACCTCTCCCCACGCCAATGCCCACTGAGCTGCACGCTGGCCTCCCACACCGTGTAGGAGGGGGACCTCTCCCCACGCCAATGCCCACTGAGATGCGCGGTATGTGCAGTCCCGGGGCCTCCTAACTCGCCCACACTCTGCTCTCCTCTCTCACACCCCAGCACATCCCCTTTGTCACTTTTTTATTTTAAATTTATTTATTTGTATTCATTCATTGTACATCATTCCAGTATGTGAAAGATTTTCCATCCAGAACACACTGTATATTGGCTTAGTCAAGGATATTACCATATTATGTTAGAGGGATATAGACCAATTACTTGTTGTCAACAAATACTTTTCCACTTGTTTCTTAGATCTTTTGCTTCCTTTCTTGACCCCTGCCTGTCACCCTCCCGCACTGCCCCTGGCATCGACAGCTGCTCTCCAGGCCTCCCCACCCACACTTTACTGACGCACTAAAGATCTGGATTCATCTAAGTACTCTCACTAGCAGGTGCAGCTGATGTTTATGTGGCCGTGGGCACGTCTGGCTTTAGGCACAGACCCTCAGTGAGTAAAGTCAACATACGACAAAGTACACCTGGCTGGGGCTGCAGAGCTTCCTGCGCTCCTCAAATAGCTATTTCTCATTTCAAGAAAAACACGTTTAGTTTAATAGATTAAAATCAAAAAGTGCAAAGAGGAGTTTGCTTAGCACTTAAAGCCAGGAAGAAGGTTAGGCTTCAGTTCAAACAGCAGGTAGATGAGCCTGTCAACAGCTCTGGAGAAGACAAAAATCCTCACATCTGGAAAGAAAGCATCGAGGAAAATCGATGTTTCAGTGAAAAGTCATAAAACTCCTTCACCAGGTCACGTCCACGTACTCCATCTCTCCTGCTGAGTCTGCAGTTGCCGTGGTCTGCTCTTTCCACTCACTCTGAAGGTTGACATTCGGCTTGGACTCGTCCCCACCACGAGGCTGGCCACCCTCTTGGCTGCTTCTCGTCCCCTTACTTCTGTGTGTCCGACCTCAGTTTTCCGCGTACAGCACTCCCTCCCGCACTTCTTGGAGAGCTGGCCTGGTGCTGGGATATTCTTTCACGTTCTGTTTATCTGAGAATGTCTTTGTCTTTTTTTCCCATACGAAAGATAATCTTGCTGGGTATAGTATTCTTGGTTGAAACTGTTTTTCACTTAATGCTTCGAATATGTTTTCCCATTTCTTCCTCACTTGCATTTTTTCTGATGAGAGGTCCGACGATAGCCCGATGGGAAAGCCTTTGAAAGTCACTTGCCGTTTCTCTCTTGCCAATTTAGTACCTCGTCTCTGCCTGTGGTTTTGGTCGATCTGGCTATGAGGTGCCTCGCGGAAGATCTTGGGTTGATTCTATGTGGGGTCCTTTGTATTTCTTGGGTCTGGATCTTTCAATGCCTCTCTAGGTTTGGGAAGTTTTCTTCCAGGATTTCATGGGACAGATTATCAGTGTCCTTGTTAGTTTCTTCACCTTCTGGGATACTGATCATCCAGATGTTTGGGCATTTAATGGTATCTAGTATTATTTGTATATTATTCTCATTTTTGGGGCTATTTTCTCTGTCTTTTTGGTGAAATTTTCTAGGTCAGAAGTTCTTTTTTTTTTTAAGAATT